TTAACATAATATATAACTTTTACATAACCACAGCCCGTGGCCCACTATACTGTAGAATAGTAGCACATCGGCCCAGCAGTCGGGTCCTATTGGATGTCACTAATTAATTATTACAAATAATTTTCAATAATATGATGTATAGATCATTTACTGCAAATTCTGATTATCTAATTATATTACACAACGAATACGATTTATATTTAAATGTATAAATAATAAAATAATAATAATAATAATAATAATATTTTATGTATGCCGTAGGTAAACCTAAACTATTCATGAAAACGCATTGATACAATGTATAAGGCCTTGTGCTTTACAAAAGGATTTGATTGAAAGTTTTCACCGTTTGTCACATTATTATTAAACTGTTTGTAGAATTCACATAAGGGTGCTGGTTTACTTATATTATATATTATATATTGTATACCTATTATTTACTAACAAAAGCATGTTGATAAAGTTGTAAACTTATTAAGATAATATAATTGAGCGGAAGCGGGAAATCGCAAATGAGTTCTTGTACGTACCCATACGTTATCTAATTTTCTTACATCAAAGTAACAAAATGCAAACGCACATTCAATGCGATACATCTAATGTGATGACTTAACTTCCAAGGAGTAAGCTTGAAGTCTCACAGGTTAAATGTGTGTACGTGTGTACGTGTGTACGTGTACGTGTACGTGTGTGTGTACGTGTACGTACACGCGCACGTGCACAGTTTTGTTTAATGTAATAAATTAATAAATTGTCGCTACTGTGAGAATAAATTTYTAATAGGTACCTACCCATATGTGTTAATATAWGTATATTAATTTTTATGAATATATTTTAAAGATTTAACTTTTTATAGGTAGTATATACCTTGAAAATTACTGTATAGTGTATGCTATATAAATATTATATAATTGTATAAATGATCTATATTTTATATTAATTTCAGTTCTTTGATGATTATTGTATGAATGAATTTCAAATATCAGATGAATATTACTGAAATAGTAAATATCATATTGTATATCAATAATGAAATACTTCTAWATTAATTTATATCTATAATCAGTTAGCATTATTAATTTMAAATTTAATTTGAATAATTTTGAACAATTTTATTAATGATTTCAAATTCTATATGGATATTACTTACGATTGTTATTAGTRTATGAGAATTTATAGGATAGGTTTTCATGAATAATTTAAAAGTGTTTATTTACAATCTTGGGAGCCAATCAACGTGCTGTGCTGTCATCCCAYATGTTTGGCATGTTGAAAAAAATAGATTATTACTTATTAAAATTGGCTGAGACACGATTGAGCAATGCTCATGAAACATTTTTTTGCGATACGATTGAGCAAAATTTTCAGCGTATCAAAAGAAATTGAAATACAAAAATAAACCTACAC